TATCAATAAAATGAAGACCAAACTCAACATCTTGTCCAAAGTAATTTGGGTCATTCTCTTTCCAACAAAATTCGAGCACCGTCCAACATCCGGTTTAGTTTATCGACCACCGGTGGACTCTTCTTGCCGATGCGTTCTTATTACAAAATTTCAGCCTGATAAGATTCATTTACTCACAAAAGTTTTAAAAAAAACAGGATTTGGCTCAGGATTGCCATTTTTTAACTTTCCATATATAGAAAAGAAATGAAAGAGATAGACTAGAAATGAGATCTGCCCCAAAGGACTGAGTGGATCATCTCGGAAAACAATCTACAAATCAAAAAAAAAAAAACTCAAAATGAACAATTTATGGTTCACATTCCGGATTGGGTTCATCCCTACAGTAATCGGATGAATTGAGTTGTCGTTTCTAGTTAGAGGTCAAACAGTCCAAGACGCGCATCCACCGGATAAGCATATAGTTCGTCGAGACCATTAATAAGATATGTAATTCCATTCCTCCCATCCAATAAAAAGAACTATGGATACAAGATGTTTAATGTTTCAAACTCGTATTTTCGGATTTGGGACCATGAGAGATCCAAAGTAACTTGATAGTAAATTTGTTGTTCTTTATTTACAGGACGTATTCAGGACTTCAAATAACTTTAGATGTACGGTAAGACGGTTGTCAGACGCACACTTTTTCAACAAATGTGCATACTTTTATTAAAAAATACAATACTCCATAAATCGATATAAAACAACACTCAATATAGTGATACAACATATATTAAGATACAAGCAATGAGAGGCTCTTAACCAAAGTGCAACTAGGGGTCTTTCAAATTTTACTACGGACGGCTAGGTACTTTGAGTGGCGCCCCTGAGCAATGAGCTTGCCTGTCTTCTTACTTCTAAAGTCGACGCTCACAACAGCAAGAGCCTTTCCAACACGCAGTGCCTTGCATTCTATCTCAATGTCCTCCTGAGAAAAGAAAAAAAACAAATGGTTCACTAGACGAAAGTGCTATGAGACTATGAGAGAAATCTAACTGATTCAAACCGGACTAAAGTGTACAAGCTCAGGAAATATATATCAAGATATCAGTCTAAGAGTTCTCTAAACCCAATAATAGTAATAGTAATAGTTTAAATATGCAACACTGGCTAAAATCATTTCGAAATCATAACTCGAGGAGGCGTATGCAGCAACTTTTATGCTGCGAGAGATTGTGATTTATTGCAGCAGAGCAGCAGAAAAAGCGAGAATCAGAACTTGGCAAAACGGAATCTACAAAGTGTCGAGTAAAAAAATAAAAAATCAATCGTAGTTGTGACCTAAAGTTAAACGAGAATCAATTTTGCGATGATAATAATGATCCATAAATGGTGCATTGACATGTGTCCTAAAATATACACTTGGACATTGGTCAATATATCAGTCCATGGATGACTCCATAGAATATCAGAGACTCGAATGACCTAACTCAGAGCTCGAAAAATTACATTTTTTATTCCTGTCCTTTAAATCACTTTTCAAAGTGTCCTTTGATAAATCACTTTCCCTTTCCAGGTCGAGCCTTCCCAAAACCTTCATTCGTTCATCAAGCAGCATCATGTAAGAACTTCTACGAGAAATATCCACGATCAAACCATTCGTAACCTAATTTGGATATTCACCCAAAAAAGAGGGGGGGAAACACAAATTCTACATAATTTCCGCATTAGAACATCCTTGATTCAAACTTATTTTCAGCTGTTCTCCCACAATTTGTATCTAATTATTAAAAATTGCATTACAAGACCTGCTCCCACATATACTGAATTGAGCTGTCACCATTAAAGAAGAAAAAAATGGAGGTTTTGGGTTCATAGTGGCATATGTGAATATGAACACTGGCCAAACTAGTTTAAAGAGACACCTTTCAAGTCACGATCACCACTAGATTCGAAGTTTCTCGACTCGAATCGTACTCAGAGATAGCGCAAATGCGTAAGCTGAGAGAGGAGAAATGAAGGAACTTACACCGACATACGCGCAGTCCAAGTAGGTGACGTTGATCTCGACGGATACGCCCGTGAACGCGGACCCCGTCGTGCAGATAACCGCCGACCCAACTATGTCCACCATCGCCGCCGTAGCTCCGCCGTGCAGCGCGTTCTCGGAGTCCTTCGTTGATCGCCACCACAAAAATCAATCAATCGGTCAATTCGGTCCCAAAACAAGCAGAGCAAATCGGAAAACACAGAAATCGAAAGGAATTACGATTGAATTTCCAAAAAAAAAAAAAAATTGATTTTCAGATTACGCACCACGAGGCGAGGTGGGACGGTGAAGGAGCAGACGATGCGGCCGCGCTCGACGTGGTCGAGCCTGAGGCCTTGCATAACTATGGGCTCTATGAACCTCGCCGGCATTGAGTCCACCGTGAGCCCATGCCCGCCGTCGTCTTTCTCCACTAATTTTCTTGCGGACTCCAAATCCATTGGTAGAAA